GGCCCTTCGTCGTCGGGCGTTTTGGGGTCCCAGGGGTTTGCGTCGAGGAAGAGGCAGAAGGGGTAGGGTTGCCGAACAGTTCCGAGTAAAAGTCCGTCAGCATCTTGGATTTCTGTCGCGTCGTCGTCGCCGTCAGGGTCACATCATCCTGCGTCCAGTTTAACTCGGGAATGCGGGGTCGGGCTTTGGGTCGTCCTGGGAACCGTTTCGTCTTCAGGGCCTCGTTCAGTTTCGCCGTGGATCGCATCCTGGAGATCTGCCGTCTAAGTCGATAGATATCTTTAGCTAGCTGCTTGCGCATGTGGCTCTCCGCCTCCACGCGTAACTGACGCTGCAAATCGCGAACACGAGCCAGGAGCGGGTCGTTAGCTGCCACCGCGCCTGCTTTGTGTCTAGGACAACCTCGTCCACACCTAGATGCAACGCTGGCGATCACATTCGTGAAGTGGCCCAGGGTCGGCAGAGTTTTTCCTTCCGCGTCCGTACGCGGCAATGGCGAGGGCATATTCGACTCCGTGAGGTCCCCGACGAGAAACTCAGGACAGCTGACTTCTAGTCTCTTCTGCTGGCGTTGCATCTGCTCGTGGATCGGAAGACAGAGTTGCTGGGCTCCCCCCAGCAGTCGAAGAAAATCAGCTTGAAACCAATCCACCTGGGTAGGTCGGGTCCACTTGGGCACCTCTGAGTCCAGCCGAGATCCTTGTTTAGCTAGGTAATCAGCAAAGTCATTTCCAACATTTTCAGCTTGGTGCGCTCGATCCCAGACGATTTTCACCCGGAAGTATTTTCGGACTTGCTGGAAAAGGTGCCGGACCAGATAAGCCAGTAAAACGTTCTCCTTCGGTCGCATCGTGCCCTCCGCAGCGTGTATCGCATACTTCGCATCGACGTGTACGATGATCGTGTTCCCCAACGGGATCAAAAACTTGTCCGACCTGAACCTTTTCCGAGTCCCAGGAAGAACAGACAGCGCGAGCTGGTGTTGGCCCTCTTTCAGGAGCCAAAAGCAAAGTTCGATCAGTGCCGTGATCTCGGCCGTCCCGTTCGAACGGCGAACGGCTCCGAGAAAAACTCTATGCTGAGGATCCACCGTGACATGTCCACATGCTGCCAGAAGCGCCTGAGACCTGGTAACTGGAGCGTCACATCCCTGAGGAAACACCGCGAAACCCCATCCAGCTTTTGGTTCGATCCTCTTCGGAATACGTCGTCCCTTGGTAAAACTCCCGTCGGTCCAGATGTGCCAGGCCCAAGGGTCCAGAGCGATTTCCAGCTCTTGTCCAGGAAACAGGGGAAGCTCCAGTTCATCACAGATCTTGTAAGGGTACTCCGAATCCTGCATCTGCCAACCCAGGGATGAGCGTGCCGACCGAAACGACCGAGCTGGCAAGGCAGTCTTGAAATCCTGCAATGTGACACAGATGGGCCTGTGGTCCGACTCGGTGGCCGTCGACGCTGGCAGTGTCACTTCAAATTGAATCTGTCTGTCCAGCAGATCCCGAGAAACTCCCACATAATCAATCTGCTGAGGTGTCGACCCCAACTTGCAATCATAATGGCACGTCCAACACTCGGAGGGGGCGGAATCCATGGTATTGAGGAGGGAGAGGTCGTGAGTCTTAACGAAGTCTAGGAAATGTGGAGCAACGAGGTCTCGACGAGTAGTAGTGTTGGGACCAACCCAGGGAGCTGACTGCCTACTGCCCACTGCGGCTTGGGCATCCACTCCAATCACTAAATAATCACACCTGCTTTCTTCGATTAATTCGTGAATACAATCGATGCTCGTCTTGTATTCTGCAACGTTGTGGTAAGGAGGAAGGTGAGCGCTGATGAGGAGGATGCTCTGGGAACCCCACCGTAGCCCCAAGGACATGGCTTCTCCACGTTGTTTGAAGGACGAGTCGACATCTCCTGCGAACGTTCGATGTACTATAATTGCTGTCCTCCTACGCCCCTCATGGGAGCTCGAAACAAAAGGGATATGGCCGCCATCCAAGGCACCGATACGGAACGAGTCCGAGCAGGCCGCCTCCTGAAGTAGAAGAACATCCCAATGCTCCTCTTTCTCCAGCTCAGCACAAAAGGAATTGAATTCGTTTTCGATGCTACGTACATTCCAAGAGATCACCCTCAATGTCGAGCATCGACCCCGAGGCGCTGTTGGCCCCGCACTTCAGCGCATGCCGAAGTTGATGTCCTGCAAGTGCTCAGCCCAACGAATCTGAAGCGCAGACGCCTGCGCCTGCGGTGAAACCTCGAAGAGACCCGTGGCGCGGTTGGCCTCGAACAGCCTGGAGATCATGCCGTCCTGCGCGCGGTAGCGCACGATGCCCGCGTCCCAGTCGCACGGCAGGGTCTGCTGCAGATCCTCGCGCGTGGGGTTCTCGGACAAGCGCTGGATCTCCTTCAGGTGCTTGATTACGATGTTGCGTGCTGCCGACGTCCGCTTGCTCATCTGACGCTCATCCTCGGTGCTATCAATCTGGTGAAAGAGCGGGCGACCATTGTAGCTGAACTTGTGGCCCTTGAAGGCCTTCAGAAATGTCCACATATTCTGAGACGAACGAAACTTGATCTTGCCGATGGATGCGAAGGGCCCAGGCGTGTACATGTCTTCCACGAGAGATGGGTCGGTCCAGTTCGGGAAACCCTGCTGCACCGAGACGATGTCCCTCAGCTTCTGTAAGATGTGTGCCTTCTCCGTGTCCGTCGGGAAGCCACCTACCACGATGATCTGGCGCCTAGTCTTCGGCACGTAGTCTGCACTCCGACTGTATGGGTTACCAGGGTGGGCGCTAGGCCCCGAACGAGTACCACCCATGTCTCCTGCCGTCGAGGTGTTGGACGCCACACCCCCACGCTCCAACGCTGCCGTACGGGATGCTAGATCCTGCACCGCCCTGTCAGTCTTGTCGAGCCTGGTCGATACGCTGTCCAGGCGGGTCCCCATCAAGTCAACTTTCAGGTCCATGTTAGTCTGCTTAGTCGAAACTGCGGCCACGTCGTTGCGGATGCCCGCGAAGTCAGGATTCAGGGCGGCCTTGATAGCCTCCACCATGGATAGAGCCTCTGGACCCAGACCTGGCTGTGGAAACAGGGCGGACTGAGGACGGGCAGGGGTACGCCGCGGGCGACCCTCCTCATCAGTCGAGGCCTCCATCGCATCCACCTCTTCCCCTCCTCGACGAGCGTGTTTCTGGGGAGGCATACCCTCCCCATATCCTGCGGCGGCGGCACCCACTGCTGACATGATGCTTCCAGTCACAAAATGAGACCGAGGTGAGGGCTGGCAGTGAGACTGAGTGTGGCGATCAGAACAAAACTTGCAATAACAGGTGCGCGCGAAGGGTGGACAGGTCCTCAACAGTTCTTGAGCCAAAATGGATGATGGTGATGATGATGGTGATGATGGTGATGATGGTGATGATGACACTGGTGATGATGATGATGATGATGATGATGATGATGATGATGATGATGATGATGATGATGATGATGATGATGATGACGATGATGATGTCACGGCTCAGCAGGGCGCGGCAGGAGTCGATTCAGCCGCGGCCAGGCCGCGAGACAGCAGCGGGGAGCTCGGCGCGGGCACGGCGCGCGGCGCACCCAGCGCCACGCAGCACGGCCGAGGGGAGCGCCCGCCCCGCAGGGAGTGCGCTTCGTCACCGCGCGGGAGAGCCCGTGGGCAGCAGCCACGCGGGAGAGGCCGACGGCGGAAGCCATAGCCGGCCGCTCACGGGTCGAGGGGTCGGCGTCGAACCAGGCCAGTCCTCGAAGAGCTCCCAGAACCCGTCGCATTCGAAATTCGACGAGCGCGTTCCACTGCTCGCAAAGGTAACTACTCGCAAATGGCCTGGATCCCCCGCGGGGAATCTACGATACATTACGTCAAAGCGGACAGGTGTTGTTCGGACGTTGGCGAGTAGGCACTTTGCGAGTAGTGGAAGGCGCTCGGCGAAAAATAGTGCTTCTGGTCCGCAGCTGGGTGCCCACGGGTGCAGCAAGCCTGCCGGGCAGCCTCGTGCAGGCGGCGAGCAGCAGACCATCCATGCACCCCAAGTCCGCAGGATCGAAACACGAAGAGCACGGGGTACGGAATGAAGGCTCGCCACAGCAGCCGCAGCAGCAGCAGCAGGAGCAGCAGCAGCAGCAGCAGCAGCAGCGCTGGTAATGGTGTCGTCATCTGTCAAGCTCCGCCAGCGTTGCAATGATAGCGAAGGCCAGTCAGAGATCCGCCACTCTCTCAGACGCCCACCCGGGCGATCATCCCAAGTTAGCGCAAGACTGAGTGAGAGCAGACACCAAAGCGTTAATCGTGATAATGAGTGTAGCGTCAATCGTGTGGCAAACAGATCAGGACTGCATGTTCTGTGGAGCTCTGACCGTGTGTATCCGAGAGACGCTTCTCAAGCTGGAGAGAAAGGTCCCGAGTTCGAGAGCGGCCTCTGGAGCCATGCGGGGAGGCAGTGGAAGTCGATCAACCAGAACACCAGCGTGGGGGAGAGGCGGGGGCGGGAGGGGAGGGAGGAGGGAGGCATGCAGGATTCCAGCATGACGACAACTAGCCCCGAGGACGAGGCGGTACGCCGCGGAGGTACGGTGCGGAGGACGCCGCTGAGCCGAGCCCGAAGCCCTGAACGGCAGCGGTCGGCACGGGCCGCCACCGAGCTGCTCCCCGCTGGCTCCCCTGCCCTGCGAAGCATACCCGCGCTCCTCCTCCCTCCTTTCCTGCATCCCTCCACCCTTCCCCTCCTCCCTCGCTCCCTCCCTCCTTCCTCACTCCCTCTCTCCTCCCTCCCTCCTCCCTCCCTCCCTCCTCCTCTCTCCCTCCTCCCTCACTCCCTCCCTCATCCCTCCCTCCTCGCGCTCCTCCCTCCTCCCTCACTCCCTCCCTCCTTCCCGCCGTCCGTATCCTCGTCCAACTCCTCGTCCAGCTCGCGCTCCTGTCCTCGCCAACCCCGCCAGGAATCGAGAGGCGGCGGCGCCACCAGAAGGGCGGCGTCGTGCTTGCCGCAGCCTCTCGCCGGTGACAGCGGGGGCAGGGCAGCGGGAGGGGGAGGGGAGGGGGTACTGGGTAGGAGGAGGAGGAGGAGGAGGAGGAGGAGGAGGAGGAGGAGGAGGAGGAGGAGGAGGAGGAGGATGGGGAGGAGCAGGGATTAATGGAAGCGGGAAAAGGAGAAGAGAGAGGCGGCAGGGGGGAGTGGGAACAGTGGGGGGGGGAGCAAGCGGGCAGTGGGACAGGGAGCGGGAAGAGAGCGAGCGGGAAGAGAAGCGGGAGCTTGCGAAAGCCGGAGCGGGAGTAGGAGCTGGAGAAGGAGCTGGAGCGGGGGCGGGAGCCTGAGCGGGGTGGAGCGGGGGAGAGGGGTGCGCGCGGGCGTGGCATCCCCACCGGCATCCCACAAAAGAAGCGAGAACCATGAACGACTCGACGGTCGCCATTGTTACCTCAATCACGCTGCGCAGTAGAATGCGGCTGTGATAAGGCTTCAAGGACAGGTAAAGGCAGGCGATAAGCTGGAAGCAAGCTCAAGCCAAGCTACACGCGCACACAAGAACCACGCTCATTCGCACGACTGCAGCTTGCCGGGCCCCTCGGCAAAGACTGCTCGCCCGCGCGTCTTGAGGGCATGCCGACCAAACGAGCGGCAGTCCACCCTCCCCAGCTGCTGCGCCGCGCGAGGAGGAGGGAAGGAGGAGGAGGATGAGGAGGGGGAGGAGGAGGAGGAGGAAAAGGACGAGGAGGAGGAGGAGGAGGAGGAGGAGGAGGGGGAGGAGGAGAAGGAGGAGGAGGAAGTGCGAAGGGGCGCGCCTGCCTGCCCCCACTCCTCCACGCCTCCTCCCTGGGGGCAGCAGCCTCCCCGTCGCACGGACAGGGGTCGAGCGACGAGCGCACGGGGAGGAGGAGGAGGAGGAGGAGGAGGAGGAGGAGGAGGAGGAGGAGGAGGAGGAGAAGGAGCAGCAGGAGCAGGAGGAGGAGGAGGAGGAGGAACAGGAGGAGCAGGAGGAGGAGGAGGAGGAGGAGGAGGAGCAGGAGGACGAGGAGGAGGAGGACACGGGGTCGAGGGCCGAGCGGTCGGGAAGAGGGGCGCGGGCGGGAGGAGCGGGGCACGCCGAGGGACGACGAGGAGGGCCGGCGGGCGGCGGGGAAGGGAAGAGAGGGCGGCGGCGGGCGGGCGCACGCGGGGCCCGCTGTCGAGCCCGTCGCGGTGCCTCCGCGCCTCCTCCGCCGCCCGCTCCTCGTTGGCGCCGGAGATGTAGAGCTGGAACCCGCGCTCGCGCTCCTCCCCCCAGGGGGGGCGCGGGGGAGGAGGAGGGAGGAGGAAGGATCGGGGAGGCCGCGCCCAGAAAATCTGTCCTCCAGTTCGGCGTCCGGGGCAGAGGCGTCTCGGGCACCTGGGCCGTCAATGAACGATCCAGGATGGAGAACTTCCAGTGGGGGCGCACAGAGACACACTGGTACTGTATGTCCTCCTTGGCGGCGAGCGTCGGACCCGAACAGATAGTTCACCCGTCTTGTAGTATATCGTTTCCCGAGTGGTGTGGCCAGAAAGCACCCCCCATGACGCATATACTAGAAGATTTCTTAGTGCGCACGTCGCTCCTGGGGGGAGGCGACGCACACATAGCAGTAGTATGTTGGGGTGACGCCGATCCAGGATAAACTCTGGAAGGGGCTTGGAAACCGAGGAGGGCCCCCTACCCCCCTCGCGCCGCAAGGCGAAGGCAACACGAACAAGGGCGCTCGTCGCCCCATCGGCAGGCAACTTCCAAGCCCTATGGCCGCCAGAGGACTGCCCGGGGCGCAAGCAAGAAGGCCGCGCTGAAAGGGTCGGGACACCCGGGGGTCCCCTTGGAAAACTCACGGCGTTGGAGGTCTTAGGAGAAAGAGGAGGAGGAGGAGGAGGAGGAGGAGGAGGAGGAGGAGGATGGTGGCGGATTACACAGCCTTGAGGGTGGCTGGCCCCTGTGCGAGTTGGCACCGTAAAGATCGTTACTTCTCGGTGGTGTCTGATGCCCCTGACTGGGGGGAAAAAAGAGGCGGCCACCAACCGAGAGGAGTTCGCGTGCTGCCTCTGTCCGAGGGCGCCGAAAAGACGGCCACCTTTCGAGAGACACCTGTAAAAGGTGGTGAGACCCTTTGGGAATGGGTTTGCCTGCTCGGGCAAGCAATGGGAATGAAATGGTCGTCAGTTGGGCGACTGCGCTGGGGTCTCCAGCGAGAGCCTGGGGTGGGAAGGCAGGTGGGATATCGGGTAGCGGAGAGGAATGCGAGGATGGATGAATGGGAGGTCGGGGGGTGAGGTCGCAGAGGACATGAAAACGATAGTGAGAACGATAGAGAAAAATCAGGAGCAGGAAGCACGCATCAGACAGCGAAGACCGAAGCGAGAATGCACGAAATGTTGGGGGCGGCGAGCTCAAGTTCAGGGGCGCAAGGATGCGTGCAACTCCCCGCCTGTGAGCCGAGAGGTTGATTGGACACAAGTATGGGTTTCCCGCTGTCCAAGCGACCAGAGAACCATATGAGAGAATGGCACGGGGGAGTGGACGCGAAGCTTGGACACCCGATTTGGGGCTGCAAGACAACAGTGCCACAAATAACGCTACACGAAGTCGCGCAAAGTGCGGGTGAGAATGTGGCGCAAGTTATCGCGCCCGGCCATCGCCCTTGCAGTTTGGTTTGAGTGTTGGACGGCCTTGAAGGGCACCCCATGGGCTGACCAATGGGCGAGCCACACACACAAGTGTAAGGGTTGAGCGACCTGTTGAGAGGCCCTGGAGGGCATTCCATGGGCGGAAACGTAGGCGAGACACATGCGTATTAGAATGTTGCACGGCCGTGAACGTCACTCGCCACACACAGCGTGGTAAATACCACGGGGACGGTACGCCATGGCACGCTTTCGCGAGATGGAGGAGCAGGGCCGTGCCAGATGAAATGCCCTCCAGGTTCGATGGGAAGCCTGAAATGGTCTACCGTCATAACCGTTAGGACCGAATGCAACATGGACGAGCGGCCCGACAAATGGAGTGAAAGCGGCAATGGGATCAACGGGCTTCAAATATGAAGCGGCACTGGTGGGTGCCCAGCAATGGGGTAGCCGGATGGTCAAGGATGATGGGGCAACGGGCATGGAAGATAGAGGCAGGAAAAGCACAGGGAGGAGGGAGCGGACAGGAGAGGGAAGGGGGCCGAGAAAAAAAAAAAAAGGATAGAGCAAAATGAACGACAGCAAAACGAGAGGTATGGACGATAGAATTGTTCCCCCTTGCGTGGCGGGGCAGAGATATGGAGCTCATCCCCGTTTTTTATCGAATTCTCGCACAGATCTCCTGCCCAATTTTGCGGGTAGCCTGAAGCATGAAGCGAGACTGCGCGTAACTTTGTGTAAAAGCAGCAAAAGACGCAGCAACGTAGAACCGCCTACAGTGCCTAGAAAAGTATTGCCCTGAAGCATGAGGCAAGACTGTGCATGGCACTGCGTGACAATAAGCACGCGACGCAACAAATTAGAGCCACACAGGCCCCCAAGCGTTGAGTTTGACTTGCCATGCGCCCACCAGTGTTTGGCTCAAGCATGTGCCCCGCAGCGGCTTTAGAACGGACGCATGGCCAAGCGAAGGGCGCCTGACCAAGAAAAGGGCGTTTGACCAGCAGGAGTGCGCCCGGCGAGAGAAAGGCGCCTGACCAAGGACGCGTCGCCTGGCGGAGAACAGGGCACCTGACCGAGAGAGGGGCGCCAGGTGACAGAAAGGCGCCTGGTCAAAGGGAGGGCTCTTGAAGGGAGGGTTCTTGACCAAGAGAAGGGCGCAGAGAAAAACGTCAAGAGACCGACAGGCACTTGACATGGGAGTCTGGGCCGCATCGAGTGGCGTGGGCTCTGCACGCGCCTGGAAGTAGGGCATTAAAACGCGGGTTCTGGGGAATGCCAGCCCATCCCCGGATCAAGGTTTCATCGGCAAGGCGTTTCACGAGCATTGTAATCCTGCTTCGAATAATATCAACCAAGCGCGCAGTACCGCAGAGAATCGCTACAATATCTTGAGGTTCACCACGTCGCTCTTCGCAGGGAGCGTTCGGGATGGGTCCCCAACCGCATTGAAAAATCGCCCACTGACTTCGCAACGAGCGCAGGATTGGCCTCCAAAGATGTATGATAATGTCCGAATCCTGGGCAGGCACCCTCTTTGCGACGTGGATATGTTGGCCCCCGTGAGCCTCGCCATGCATTTTGACAGAAGAGGGCTTACAACGCCAAGCTGGTGAATTGAAGGGGTCTGCGGGAAAGGGTCCAACGTTCTGCTGGTGAATTCGAGTGGCCTGCGGAGGGGTCCACTAGCCATGCAATTCAACAGAAAGGTATTACAACATCCTGCTGGTGAATTGAAATGGCCTGCCGAGGGTTCCACGTGGGTCACCGGCGACGTCTGTCGACATCCCTCGTGTTTCCGGGGTTTGGCATGGCGTGTGGGCCATGTGGGGAGGACTGGGCGGGTAGCCTGGCGGCGAAAGCAAGAGGGATAGTGGCAGAAGGGATGGGAGATGGAGACAACCAGCACTCGGGAAGGGCGCATGCAGAGGGATAGAAGGGCACAGGGAACTGGGAGGGGGATCTGGCGAGCGACGGATCGATCCTGGTGAGGATTTTGCCCCCGAGCTGGAAGTGCGAGACACGGATGAAAGCAGCACTTTGTAAGTCAATGGTCTGCGTGCCGACGGTGGCAAAAACGTTCGCAACGATTGTTGAGAAAGTGCACGCTGCTCGGTACGCGCCAACCGTTAGAGGCAACTGAGAGGCGACTGAGACCCGACGGGGAGACGCCGTGAAACCTGCGTTTCGGGAGCGACCCCACTCAACCTCCTCTGCGTCCGACGAAATTGGTCAGAACTAGACGGTGTCAAAGGGGGCCCAAAAATGCGCCACCTTGGGTGCCTGTAATGTATGACGCTCCTGGGAACCCTCCGCCGATCTGGGCGAAGGAAGGGCCCCGGGGCAAAGGAGGGTTTGTTGGGGGCCTAGGGATCCCAACTCACGTTGGTCACAACACGTGGGAATACTGGATGGTTCCACCGGATGGGGGCTGGGATGCCCGCGCCCCGGCCTTCCCGACAGGTGGCACGGGCAGCGGGATGAGCTGGGAAAGAAAAAACAACGTAACACGATGGCCGAGAAATACGTGGTTGCGGCGGTGAGAGGATGCCAGAAGGATTGCTGGTGTCGCCCCAGTTCCCTAACCTGAGGGGTGCTTGTGGTGAAGGTGCTCTTCGGGAACGTGAGACGCGCACTCCACTGCCAACGCCCCGCGCGTCCCTCAACAAAGTCGAACCCTACAGGCTGCGGGTAGCCATCGGCACGGGGGCTGTGTGAGGAGAACCCCTTCTCAATCAACTCCCGTGGGGGCGTCCGACAGTGCTCAAAAGGCGACATTGTTCCACGCGCGCCTACACCGTGACATTTGTTTTCGCGTCAAGGTGGCCTCCTCAGCCATCCAGAGCATGAACGGAGGCGGGAAGGGCTGGGTAATGACGATATGGAATAGAGTCAGAGTGCAAGTCAGCGAGGCTCGAGCAGCCACTGCAGCCTCCCAGTACGAGGTGCTGTTTACTTGTCCTTGCCATCGCAGTCGCGCGTGCATGACTGCGGTTTCAACTGTTCACCCGTTCGCCCGAAGCAAAGGGAGAAAGCAAAGGGAGCGGCAGAGGAGGCGGAAGCAGAAGCAAGACTGAAACCATGGAGCGGAGGGACCGGGGAGCACGATGGCCAAGAAAGATGGGGGAAACAGCGGCGGAAGCAGGAAGAAGAAACGGGATGGCAAATACAGGCGGCCTGGGTAGAGGGGGTACAGCGGTGGAGACAGGATGAAGGATAGTTGGTGGCGACCCGCTTCCCTGGCCTTCGATGGTTTGGGTGGGTCCGCTCGAGATCGCTACATCCTACTGTCTCCATAAGGGGTCAGGGAGGCGGACAAATCGTGCCCCCGCCCCCACCCCTTCAAAAGGATGATAGCCGTCTAGAGGGCAAGATACGCCACACTTGCTAGCGCATCATAGTGGGGAAAGGGGGAATTACTCGATGTGCGGGTGCGAGGTACATCCCATGGCATAGCAGCGCGGTGAGGACGAGTCACAACGCACGATCAAGATGTAGAGAAAGCACCAGCGCGTGCGGGCTGGAATACAAAACCCAGATCATGAGAAGGAAGGAGCGGGAGGGGAACGAGCAACCGCCGATACGGTGACATGTATGCAACGAAGGGGGCGCCTTGGCTGGTCAATCGGGCCGGGCAAATGGCACTTCGTTTTATCGCAATGGTTCCAGGTTGTAGTGCGCAACGCCGCTTTCTGTCGAAACGCACGCTTGCGCCACACAGACTGCCGAAGCAGCGTGTGTTGCCTCTGCGGAAGCCATCCAAACAATATACCTCCCCCTAAGCTCCCCTTCCGTCCCCAGAACTGGTTACACAGCGAGAATGGAACACGCAACAAGTGATACCAATATCCCAAGTTGGGCACGTAGGCTACGGCCTGCGGGGGAAAGTAATTTCGTCCCGCGGGGAGGTAGGCCCGAGCCTATCGGAAAGACGGGGGTAGCGGGATGAGCTGGGAGAGAGCAAGGGCACCTGGGTAGCACAATGGCAAAGAAGGACGGGGTAGCAGCGGTGGAAGCAGGATGAAGGATGGATCGCTGGTGTCGCCCCAGCTCCCTAACCTTTGGGGGCTTGCGAAGGTGCTCGTCGAGAGTGCCCGAGTTGCACTCTCTTACCAGCGCCCCGTGCGTCCCTCACAAGGATCGGCCCCTAAGGATGCGGGTAGCCTTTGGCACGGGGAGGAGGAGGAGGAGGAGGAGGAGGAGGAGGAGGAGGAGGAGGAGGAGGACAGGGACAAGGACGGCGATGAGAGTGGAAAGGGAAGAGGGGAGGCGAAGGAGGCCGCGCCGCCCCGTCTCCGCGACAGCGGCAGCGGGCACCGCGCCCAGGGCAGCAGTCACGGCGGCGGCGCAGCCGTCGCAGCCGTGACCACTCGGAGCGCGAAGACGCCGAGGAAGCGAGGGCTCGTGACGCCAACCCGCCGGCGTCGGGCGCCCAGTGCGGCCGACCAGCGGCACGGCGGACGGAGACGCGGAGGACGGAGGCGGGGGCAGCGGAAGGCGCAGAGCAGACAGCCAGGCGCAGCGCACGGCAGCAGGCAGCGGAAGCGGCAGCACACCGCGGCACGGCCTCTCGGACGACGTCGTGCACCGTGCCGCGCCGTGCCGCGAAAAACAGCGCTTCTCCCAGGCGCGCGCGCGCGGGGCGCCGTGCGCCGCACGCCTCGCCCCTGCGTGCGAGGGAGCCCGCGCGCGGATGATCGTCCGCGGGTCATCGCAAGCGGGGTGACACAACGCCTCGATGACACTCGGCACGGCCGAAGTTCCCGATGCAAATGTCACGGAGAAGGTGAAGCGGCATCTTTGTGGGACGCCGAAGCGACCCGGCCCACCAGAGGCCCCCGCTGGCAGTGCCCAGGTCTGAAGCCCTCCGCCCGCTTCTCGAGCGCGTTCTGAGAGCGACAGGGATGAGGGCGCCGGCGCGCTGGATGGGCCGTGTGGTGATGCTGAGCATGATCAGGGATAAGAAGACCGAACCCTTTGGGAGGCGACCTGAGTTAGCAGGGTCAGAAGCATTAGAGATAGGGTGTCTGTTCTACAGATGTGTCGAACCCAACCGCCCAGACTTATGATCCCTAATGCAAGGACGGGGCCCTCAGTGAGGCCACGTCTTCACTCTGCTAGTAGGGTTAGGATTGTGGATGCCACGACAATGGAAACCCTAACAGTCCTATCATTAGTTTTCAATGTGTAAAATTGTCGGAAAATATTATAAGCATGGTTAAGCATGTGTTTACATGTCTAAAACATGTTTAACACATGTTATAGACATCTGGAAATCCTTTGACAACATGCTTCCTCTCCATTGATCGTCCGCCACAAGGCTACGAGTTCTTTTTGTATCCTCGATGACTCGAGCAGCTTCGGCCACCACGCCCGAGATGCCAGCGCGCCGTGCCCGCACCTCCGCAGAGGCCAAAAGTAAGGAGCCGAACTCTATACACCGAGGCCTGTGTCTGGCCTCACACTGAATCTTGCACAGGGAAGCGGATCCTGGTGTATAAGGGATCCTGGTGTATAGATTCTTCGTTGTTTCCCTGGGAAAACGGGGAAAAGGATACACCACACCACCCCGACGTCGTCCCCAACCCTCAGAAAAGTCCTGGGATTGAAAAACCGCCCGGCACTGGTAATGTAGATGCTCCAGTTTCCGAAAAAGGCCCCAGCCTCCGCGGTACCCGGGGGGAGCAGGACAGGGCGCAAAAAAAGGGCGTCGAGAGGCAGGGGAGCCCACGGGAGCGTGCAAAGGGAGGGCGCACAGGGGCCAGCAGGAGCCTGTTTTGCTCCCAGCGAGCACCAGAGACTCCTCCTCCTCCTCCTCCTCCTCCTCCTCCTCCTCCTCCTCCTCCTCCCCTCCTCCTCCTCCTCCTCTCTCCTCCTCCTCCTCCTCCTCCTCCTCCTCCTCCTCCTCCTCCTCTCCTCCCCTCCTCCTCTCCTCTCCTCCTCCTCCCCCTCTCCTCCTCCTCCTCCTCCTCCTCCTCCTCCTCCTCCTCCTCCTCCTCCTCCTCCTCTCCTCCTGACCCTCCTCCTCTCCCTCCTTCCTCCTCCCCTCCCTCCTCCTCCCCGCCTCCTCCTCCTCCTCCTCCTCCTCCTCCTCCTCCTCCCCTCCTCCTGCTCTCTCCTGCTGCTCCTCCTCCTCCTCCTCCTCCCTCCTCCCCCTCCCCCCTCCCCTCCCCCTCCCCCTCCCCCCTCCTCCTCCTCCTCCTCCTCCTCCTCTCTCCTCCTCCTCCTCTTCCTCCGCCTCCTCCTCCTCCTCCTCCTCCTCCTCTCCTCCTCCTTCCCTCCTCCTCCTCCTCCTCCTCCTCCTCCGCCTCCTCCGCCTCCTCCGCCTCCTCCGCCTCCTCCTCCTCCTCCTCCTCCTCCTCCTCCTCCTCCTCCTCCTCCTCCTCCTCCTCCTCCTCCTCCTCCGCCTCCTCCTCCTCCTCCGCCTCGCCTCCGCCTCCGCCTCCGCCTCCTCCGCCTCCGCCTCCTCCTCCTCCTCCTCCTCCTCCTCCTCCTCCTCCTCCTCCTCCTCCTCCTCCTCCTCCTCCTCCTCCTCCTCCTTCCCCCTTCTCTCCGCCCTCCCCCGCTCCTCCCTGCCCCTCCGCCTCCTCCGCGCGCCCTCCTCGAGGCTCACCGCCGGCTTGGCCTGCTTCACCCTCACGGCCTTCTGCCTCTTGCGCTCCTCGTGCTGCCGCTGGATCCTGTGCGCGGCGCCGCGGCGGTCGGCGAGGCGGTCGGCGGCCGGCGGCCACGCAGGCGCCGCGGACTCGGCGCGGCGGCAGTGATGTGCTCGTCCGCCCTCGTCCCTCCTCCATCCCTGCTCCTCCCTGCTCCCCCCTCCTTCTCCATCAACCTCCCTCCTCCTTTCGATCCCTCCTCCCTTCTCCCTCTTCGTCTTGTGGTCCTCCTCCTCCTCCTCTTCCTCCGCCCTCCCCTCTCCTTCTAAGCAACGCCTCCCTGTCGCACCCAGAGGTGTGGGGGTAGGGCGGGCCAGGTGTTTCGCCAGAGGACTTCCTCACCATGTATGATCCTGAAGCGTGAAATCTGCAACAGTTCCAAGAGTAGAGGGCGGGCCGTTTTCGAAATGTGGCTCTCGCTGGAGCGTCGCGCACAGTCGTCGTCGAAATGTGCACCAGCGTCACAGATGGAGAGCGGGCGTTTTTCAAGATGTTGCTCTCGCGTTAGCGCGACGCACACTTATCTTAACATGTCGCAGAAGTTTCACGGATGAAGGGCGGTTCTTGTTCAAAATGCGGATCTCGCATTAGCACCGCGAACATTCGTTTTGAAAGTTGTAACAGTTTTAAGGATGTGCCTGGTCGAAGTCCCAGGAATGGTTTTCGCAGGATGTAGGATTGTCCAGACGCGAGTGTCACGTTAATTCGCGGTGTTGAAGTCCCAGGTAGGGGTGTTCCCGCACGATTAAGAAAGGTCATGACGCAACAGCCACGTTGACTCGTAACGCCTAAAGCCCAGGAATTGTGTTCTAGCACGCTCGGGGACTATCAGACGGTTGTCTTCAGATGTGCTAAGATCTCCGGCAACAGGTTTAGAATGTTTCGAAATCGCGCGCGCGCGTGGCGGCCCCTGGGAGCCCCGGGTCGAAAAGTATCCCGAGACACTCACGGGCACTACCGGTCAAGGATGCTGGAATTCCCGGGGCTGGTCTTCAAGGCTTCCAGGATCGACCCCAGGGACCAAGAGGGCCCCAAGACGGGCCAAGAGAGGCTCCCAAGACGGTCCAAGGGGGGTCCGAGACGCCCGAAGATCGCCCCAAGACGCCCAAGATAGCCTCCACGGCCCAAGAGGCCTCCAAGAGCACCCCCAAGAGGGCAACAACAAGCAAAAAAGGTTGGGGAGAATTTTGGCGTTCTCGCGACCTCGGTTTCCCGACGCTCCAAGACGGCCCAAGAGGCCCCCAAGGTCGCCCCAGGACGGCCCAAGAGGGCTCAAAGAGCGCCTCAAGAGGCCTCCAAGAGGCCCAGGAGGTCTGCAGGACGGCCCAAGAAGCCCCCAAAATGGCTCCAAGAGGGCGTTCAGATGGGGGGCCCGAACGAACATTTGAGCCCTCGGCCTCAAGGAGCAACCAGGAGGTCCCAAGAGGCCCCCAGGGGCCCCGAAGAGGCCCCACGAGGCCCCCAAGAGGCCCCCAGAGCGCCCCAAGAAGCCCCCAGGAGGCTCCCAAGACGCTCCCAAGAGCGCCAAAACTGCCTCCAGGAGGTCGGCGGAATGAGCGACGCGATTGAATAATTGTTCCAGGGCCCGATGATGAGGGAACATGGCAGGAGGGATTGCAGCAACATCGTTGATGCGCCTTGGGTTTACACTGATCCTCCTCCTCCTCCTCCTCCTCCTCCTCCTCCTCCTCCTCCTCCTCCTCCTCCTCCTCTCATCCTCGTCCTCCTCCTCCACCTACTCTTCATCCTACCTCCCTCCTCCTCCCCTCCTCCTCCCTCCTCCCTCCCTCCCTCCCTCCCGCCTCCTCCCTCTCCTCCTCTCCTCCTCCTCCTCCTCCCCTCCTCCTCCTCCTCCTCATCCTCCTCTTCCTCCTCCTCCTCCTCCTCATCATCATCATCTCCCTCCTATCACTCCTCTCCCTCCCTCCCTCCTCGCCTCCTCCCTCACTTCCCTCCATCTCCCTCCCTCCCTCACTCCCTCCGCTCCTCGACTCCTCCACCACCCTTCCCTGCTCCTCCTCCTCCCTCCTCCTCCACCTCCCTCCTCCTCACCTCCTCCTCCCTCCTCATCCCTCCTCCTCCTCCCTCCCCTCCTCCTCTCCCTCCTCCTCCCTCTCCCTCCTCCTCCCTCCTCCTCCTCCTCCTCCTCCCCTCCACCTCCTCCTCCTCCTCTCCTCCTCCTCCTCCCTCTCCTCCTCTCCTCCTCCTCCTCCTCCTCTCATCATCATCATCATCATCATCATCATCATCAGCATCATCATCATCAGCATCATCGTCAGCCACATCAACATCATCACCAGCATCATCATCATCATCAGCAGAATCAGCATCATCAGCACCATCAGCATCATATTCATCAGCATCATCAGAATCATCATATTCGACAGCATCATCATCATCATCATCATCATCATCATCATCATCATCATCATCATCATCATCATCATCATCATCATCATCATCATCATCATCATTATCATCATCAGCATCATCATCATCATCATCATCAGCATCATTATCAGCATCATCATTATCATCATCTACAGCATGAGCATCATCATCAGCAACAGCATCATCGGCATCATCAGCAGCATCATCAGTAGCATCATCAACAGCAGCATCAGAACCATCATATGCATCATCATCAGCATCATCGTCAGCATCAGCATCAGCATCATCAGCAGCATCATAACCAGCACCCTAATCAGCAGCAGCAGCAGCATCATCATCATCATCATCATCATCATCATCAGCATCATCATCATCAGCATCATCATCAGTATCGCCATCATCATCGCATCAGCAGCATCCGTATCATCATCATCAGCATCATCACCATCATCAGCATCATCATCATCATCGTCATCATCAGCAGTATCAGAATCATCAGCATCGTCATCATCTACATCATCAGCAGCATCAGCAGCCTCCTCATCATCATCATCATCAGCACTATCATCATCACATACATCAGCATCATCAGCAGCATAAGCATCACCATCCTGATCATCATCATCATCATCATCATCATCAGCATCATCATCATCATCATCAGCATCATCATCATCATCAACCTCATCATCAGCAACGTCATCATCATCATCAGCAGCAGCATCTTCAGCAGCATCATCAGCATCGACATCATGATCAGCATCATCATCGACATCATCACCAGCATCGTAATCAGCATCAGCAGCATCATCATCAGCATCATCATCAGCAGCAGCATCATCGTCACCATCAGCAGCACCATCAGCAGCATCATCAGCAGCAGCATCAGCACCATCATCTGCATCATCATCATCCTCATCATCAGCAGCGTCGTCATCATCATCAACATCAGCATCATCAGCATCATCATAACCAGTACCCTAATCAGCATCAGCATCATCATCATCAGCATCAGCATCATCATCATCAGCATCATCATCAGTATCGTCATCATCATCGCATCAGCAGCATCCTTATCATCATCAGCAGCATCATCAACATCAGCATCATCATCCTCATCAGCATCGTCATCATCAGCAGCATCATAATCTTCATCACCGTCATCATCTACATCATCAGCAGCATCAGCAGCATCCTCATCATCATCAGCATTATCATCATCATCACCTACATCAGCATCATCAGCAGCATAAGCATCACCATCCTTATCATCATCATCATCAGCATCATCAGCAACGTCATCATCATCAGCAGCAGCATCATCAGCAGCATCATCAGCATCGACACCATGACCAGCATCATCATCGACATCATCACCAGCATCGTAATCAGCATCAGCAGCATCATCATCAGCATCATCCTCAGCAGCAGCATCATCAGCATTAGTATCATCATTAGCGTCATCATCAGCATCATCAGCGTCGTCACGATCAGCATCATCATGATCATCACCACCACCACCATCATCACTATCATGATCATCACCAGCATCATCATTGACATCATCAGCATCATCGTCAGCACCATCATCATCAGCATCATCATCATCAGCAGCATCATCATCAGCATTATCAGCATCATGATCATCATCGTCAGCATCATCAGCATCATCAGCATCAGCATAATCATCAGCATCATCAGCAGCAGCATCATCAGCACCATCGTCATCTTCAGCATCATCACCATCCTCATCATCAGCATCATCAGCAGCCTTATCATCAGCAGTATCAGCATCATCAACGGCATCATCATAAACATCATCACAATTCCCATCATCATCATCATCATCATCATCATCATCATCATCATCATCATCATCATCATAATGCTCATCATCATCACCATCATCATCATCATCACCAACATCATCATCATCATCAGCGTCATCATCAGCATCATCATCAGCATCATCATCACCATCATCATCATCATCATCATCATCATCATCGTCATCGTCATCATCATCACCATCATCATCATCATCATCATCATCATCATCATCATCATCATCATCATCATCATCGTCTTCTGCTGGCGCCAGCTGCGCCGTGGCGCGCGGCCGCGGGGCCCGCGTCCTCTGCCGCTCGGACATGAGCCGCGCGTACAGCTCCTGGTCGTCCCTGGAGTCGAAGCTGCTGCCGAGACCCCCAGACTGTGGGCGCGCTCCGCTCCCGGCCGCCTGGGGGGGGGGAGCGGGAGGGGGGGAGGGGAGGGGGAGGCGAGGGGGGGGGGAGGGCGCTCCCAGCCGCTGGGCGAGGGGGGAAGGGGGGGGGAGGAGGGGGGGAGACGAGGAGGAGGGAGGGGGGGGAGGGGGGGAGAGGGGGGGGACGAGGGGGAGGAGGGGGGGGGGGGACAGGGAGCTAGGTGCGCTCGCGTCATATCTGACATCCTTCCCCTCCCTCCCATCCCTTACCATGGCGCAGATCCCCTCTCTACTCGCACAGTCGGATGTCGAGCAGGGCAATGATCCCGAAAGGGTACGCGATGCATTGTAGAGCACGGCATGGCATGGCGTAGAAGAGCACCGCGAAGCGTAGTATCAACCTAGCATTGCATGCCATTGCATGCCGTGGCATGGCACGGGAAATGACGCCAGCGCTGCAGCGGGAGCACGAGTCGAAACGAGCGGAAGCGCGGAAATGAGGCCAGCGCTGCAGCGGGAGCACGATTCGGAACGAGTGGAAGCACGGAAATGAGGCCAGCGCTGCAGCGAGAGCACGATTCGGAACGAGCGGGGCCCGAAAATGAGGCCGGCGCCTCAGCGAGAGCAGCACTTTGGGAAAAAATGCAAGCGAAAACCTAACTCCGGGGAAAGCAGAAATTCAGCATTTTCCAAATAAAAATTTGTATTGGAATGGCCTTTTTTCGGCGCCGCCTCGGAACTCGATTTTCCGGCGCCGGCCGGAACCGGCTCCGGACCTGGCCCGGGCGCTGGCCCGGGCGCCGGCTCGGGCGTCCAGCCCGGGCGCTGGCTCGGGCGCTGGCTCGGGCGCCGGCCTGGGCGTCGGAATCGGCCCGGGAGGCCTCCCGGGCGCCGGAAGCAGAAATTCAGCATTTTGATAAGAAAAAATTGTATTAGAATGGCCTTTTTTCGGCGCCGCCTCGGAACTCGATTTTTCGGCGCCGGCCGGAACCGGCTCCGGACCCGGCCCGAGCGCCGGCCCGGGCGCCGGCCCGGGCGTGCAGCCCGGGCGCCGGCGGAAATGATGCCAGCGCTGCGCGGGAGCACGATTCGGAACGAGCTGGGCCCGAAAATGAGGCCCGCGCCTCAGCGAGAGCAGCATTTTGGAAAAAAATGCAAGCGAAAACCCAACTCCGGGGAAACCTGCGTGTAAAAAAAACAATACGCGGGGGGGGGGGCGAATATTCCCAAGAAGTCATCAGGGGAAGAGGGAGAGTAGTATTCATATTGAGTAATTGTGGAGGGAGAGGGGGGAGGGGGGGGACGAGGAGGGACGAGGAGGGGGGGAAGGGGGGGACGAGGAGGCGGGGGGACGAGGAGGGGGGGAGGGGAGGGGGGGAACGGGGGGGTTGAGGAGGGGGGGAGAGGGGGCAGGAGAAGGGGGGGGACGAGGAGGGGGGAGGCTACATTCGTGCACTGTCCCGCACCGTCCCCCTTTTTCCGGTGCATGCTTGCGTCTACACGCGGGCACGTTCCAAGCCGCTGCGGAATGGATCGGGGGGTGAAGTGAGGCTCCCAGACTGCCTCGACCCAGTTAAACAAACAAACCAATGAACGAACGAACAAACAAACAATCGACGGACAAAAAGCGTGTGTGTGGCCTCTGCGGGCAACTGCCGGGACCCAGGGATGAGAAAGCTGTCCTGGGGCAACGGGCCGATGGGGAAACCAAACGGCACCGATACCGCTACTCCCCAGACCTCTCCTAGAGTGCGTTCTGACCAGAGGTTCGAGGCAAATCCAGCGGTGGTGACGAGGGCCTCCCAGAAGGCCCAGAAAGGCGGAAAACGAAGCAAGGGTAGCGGCATCGGTACCTTTTAAACCAAACGCTACTGATACCTATACTCCCCAGACCTTTCCTGGAGTGCGTTCTGACCAGAATTTTCGAAGCGAGTCCAGCGGTGGTGACGAGGGCCTCTCAAAGGCCCAAGAAGGCGGAAAACGAGGCAAGGGTAGTGGTAGTGGTACCTTGTCTCCGAGGTCGAGACCATGACACGACTGGGAGAGCATGCTGCTACGCATGACATGAATGCCAACGAGAACGGCAAACCATGACGCTATGATGCCTCGTTTGATGCAATGTGAACTGCAAATGATAAAACTATGATGCCTCGTTTGATTTTGGTGCTACGTACGGCATGAATGTCAACGAGGGAGGCGAATCGTAAGGCTATGATGCCCCTTCTGAATTGACACGCATGAATGCCAATGAGAAGGGAACTGGTGCGATTAGAATGCATAGTTTGATCATGGTGCTACGCATAAACTGAACGCACATGAAAAATGGCAAAGGATGAGGCGATAATGCCTCTTTCGATGTCGATACTGCGCATGCAATGAATGCCGATGAGAGCGGCAAGTGACGAGGCGATGATGTTTATTTTGATGTTCATGCTACGCATGCTATGAATGCCAACACAAACGGCAGATGATGGGACTGTGATTAATCTCTTGATGTCGATGCTACGTACGAAATGAGTGCCAATGAGAACGGCAAAATAAAGACACGATGCCTCTTTTGAATATGGCGCGGAACATGAATACCAATGAAAGCGGTAAATGGTGGGGTCAGTGTTGTCTCGTTTTACTATGTAGAGACAGACGACATGAATGCCAATGAGAACGGAAAATGATGTGGAGCATGCAATGAATGCCAATGCAAGAGGACATAATGAGGCTATGATGTCTCTTATGATGTTGATGCTACGCATGAAACGACGAATGGCAATGAGAACGGCAACTGGTGAGGCTATGATGCATATGATGAATAATACGCATGAAATGAACGCCAATGGCAGAGGAATATGATGACGCCATGATGCATAGCTTGTTCCTGGTACTACGTCTGAAACGAATGCAAATAAGAACGCTTAGTGATGATGCGATAGTGCCTCTTTTGATTGTGATGCTTCGCATGAACTGAACCCCATTGAAAGAGGCAACTGGTGGGCTACGATGCCCCTTTCGAATTTCATGCGATGCCTACTGATAAGGTAATGATGCCTCTGTGAATACTGCTGCGACGAATGCTATGAAAGCTATTGAGAACGGTACAGTGTGAAGCTATGATGCCTGTAATGATGCTGATGCTACACGCTAGATACGTGCAAATGGGAATAGCAAACAATGAAACGAGAATGCCTCTTGTGATCATGGTGCTACGCATGAAATGGATGCCAATGACAACGGCAAAGGGTGAGGCGACGATGCATAGTTTGATGTTGATATTACACATGCAATGAACACCAATGGGGAACAGACCATGATGAGACTGTGATGTCGTGTTTGGTTTTGGCGCTACGCGCTAGGCGAACGTGAACGAAAACGGCAAATGCTGAGGCGGTGATGCCTCGTTCAATGTTGATGCTACGAGTGAAACGTATGCCATCGAGGGCGGCAAATCATGAGACGATGATGGATCGCCTGATGCTGATGCGACACATGAAACGAATGCAAATGAGAACGACGGCTGGTGAGGCTGTAATGCAGAAAATATTGTTGACACCACGCATGAAACGGATGCAAACGACAAACGGTGAGAATGGCCTGCCTCTGCTGACGTTGGTGATACGCATGAAATGAATGCCAGTGAGAACGACACAAGGTTAGGCGATGATGCGTCGTTGTGACCTTGATGCTACGCATGAACATGAAGACCAATCAGAACGGCAAATGGTTAGGCGGCGATGCCTCCCCTAATGGTGATGCTACACGTAAAGCGAATGCCAATGCGAACGGCATTTCATGCGGCGATGGTGCCTCTTATGATGCTGATGGCACGTAGGAATGCCAATGATGGCACCAAGCGGTGAGGCAATGATGCATCGCATCGTTTGATGTTGATGCCACGCGTGGATGCCAATGGGAACGGCAGATGATGAGGCGAGGATGCAGCTTCTGATGCTGATGTCACGCATGGAAAGAATTCAAATGAGAACGGCACCAGATGAGGCAGTGACTCCTCGTTTGAGTTTGATGCTAAGCATGACATGCATGTCACTGAGATTGGCAAATGATACTGATGTGAGTTCGATGCTGCGCATGACATGAACACCGCTGAGAATCGCACATGGTGAGGCTACGATGCCGTGATTTACTGTCACGCTACGCATGAAACTACTGCCAATGGGAACTGAACACGATGAGGCGATGATGCCTCGGGTGATGCTACGGAGGTAATGAATGCCAATGGGAACGGCTAACGATGAGGCTATGATGCACCGTTTGATGTTGATGCGACGCATTGAATGCGAATGGGAACGACAAATGGCGAGGCGATGGTGCATCTTTTGTGTTGGGATGCGACGCCTGAAACGAATGCAGATGATATCTGAAAATGATGAGGCATTGGGGCACCTTTTCTGAATTTGATGCGACGCAGGAAATGATTGCCAGTGAGCCAGACAAACGATGATCATGTGAGTTTGATACTACGCATGACATGAATGCCGATGAGAACGGCAAATGGTGAGGCGGTGCTGCCCACTTGAGTTTGATGTTACGCATGCTACTCACTTAAATGAGACCAACAAATGATTAGGCGATGATGCATATTGTGAGGTTGATGCGACGCATGAAACGAATGCCAACGACAACTACAAATGTGGAGCGATGATGCTTCGTTTGATGTTGATGCGGCGTATGCAATGAATGCGAATGAAAACAGATTGATTAGGATGCTACGCATGGAATAATGCCAATGGAAACGGCAAGCGATGAGGCTATGGCGCCTCTTTGAATTCTGATGCGACATCAGAGACGGATGCCAATGAGAACGACAAATGACGAGGGGATGCTACCACTTTCAGATTTAGATGAGACGCATGAAATTCGGATCACTGCAACCGACAAATGATGAGGCGATGGTGTCTCGTCTTACTCTGGTGCGTCGTTCGATTGAATCCCATCAAGAAAAATTGAGCTATGATGCATCTCTTGATATTGAGGCTACGCACGATACGAATCCCGATGGGAACAGCAAAGCATGGCACGACGAT